TTGAATAATAATGTACTGAATATATACTTTAAAAAAAAAATTAAACTGTAAGCCCATTGGAAAACGTTTTAATGCATAAAGATCAAATTTATAAGAAATAACTGAATTTACAAATTCAACCAATATCAAACCAAAAGGATATGCTAGCATTTGTAAATTAAAATCTCATAAACCCTAATTACATAATTAAACTTAATATTATGTACTTAATGTGATCGAATGCATAAAACAATCTAAAGAGTATGAACCAACTAAAGAATATGAATTTATACCAAATATTCATACTTAACCAAACATGGGCAATCAGAACTAAAATCATAATTCCAAGAACTAAATGAATTATGAAATTAATGGCAAAAGTCAATTGCCTAGCAAACATGTTTTTTCAAAATTACTAATTTGATTCAAAATCACTCTCCATAACTCAGTTAATAATAATAATATTATTATTATTAATGACAAAATTGTAAATAACCAAAATAGCAATAAATAGCCATAATAATATTATCACATTAAGTAGGAGACTAAATATGGAAAAACAGTGGTTAAAACCGCTAACATTTATAAACGTTTTCGGATAAAATTTAGAAAACTTAATAAAATTTGAAGTCCGAAAAATATTAATGTCCAGAAATTATTTTCTGAACTGGAGTATTGTCACATAAATTTATTTAGAAACAGTTTAAGATGCATATCTGAATACCATAACAATATTAATGTTATCATTAATTAATTATTAATAGCAATAAGTAACATTAAAATCACTATTAACATTAGTAATGACAAACTAAAGTATGGTAATGCACTTTTAATGTTTCCATTTTCTAAAGATAAAATATGTAACTAGTCCAAATTAGCGGTTAACTGTAACTGTAGCACTAATTATTAATAACAAGCATAAAAGATAATTAATGACTAACCTTAATGATGCAAACCGCATTTGCCCATTGCGCTAACAACGATGACGATCCACAAGAGAAGAAAAGACTCCAGAATTCTCTCAATCTTCACTATCGGTGTCAATAAACTCGATGCAGCGTCCAATGGTACGTTAAAAAATTTATTGGTAGGACTTAATTACCAACATTATTAGTCATGTAAAATGAAGTCGTAATCATGCCAATGTACCAAATATAGCATATTACCATGAAATAATAATTATTATGGAAGGTAATAAAATAAGATTAGCCCCTAAACTTAATAACAGTAATTAATAATGCCGAATTTAATTAACTTAATAAATAGCAAAACTGTAATTAAGGGATGCCACACTAATCTCAATTTTACCACATAATAATTAATCATGACTATTATGATACTTAGGGAGACTGAAGTTAGGTAATAACCAAATTACCAATTTTACAGACAATATACCAACTATATTGCTTTTGCCATAAAATTAAAGACTTAATATTATTAAGGCCCTAAAAAACTATTGATAGATTAAAATTTAATCAACTTAAACAATAGTTATAGTTTTAATGGCCAAAATAACAATTAAATCTTTAAATCCTTTATGTCTCAAAACAGGTCAAGACAATAATTATAGCACTTAATCACTCAAATTAGGCTCATAAACCTCAATGGCCCAAATGAATTATAACATGAATGAAAAATGGTCTAATGCTGAAATAGACCCAAAATTTAATATTATTACCAACGATGAATACCAAAATATGGCAGTTAGTAATAATTAAAACTCAATAAACATGTTATAAGGAGCTATAATTATTATTAAAATATCAATTAAACTGGTGGAATCCATACTTTAATGACCCAAGATAGGTCCCAAATAGCTTGTCTAAAATAGGTTCTAAAGTCCCAGAGATACATAAAACTAAAAAATGTGCTCAAATTAAAGGGAAACCAAACCAGCTGCTTTAGTAGGTCATAATGCCTAAAATTGACTTAAGGATCCAAAATTGAATGATATTTAATAATTAATTTATGAGTTAATAATATGCTAAACCAACCTTAATGCATGCTATTATGAATATATAATTATAACAATAATTTATAAATATATGTAGCATGCTTGGATGTGCAAATTAATACATTATTAACACATATATACTAAATAAATTGCAACACTCGAGGCAATTTAATTTGCACCTTAACATTAAATTAAAATTCAAATAGCAAATTAAAACTTAATATTTGCTCCAAATTGAATAATAATTTAATAATTAATTAAGGAAGAATTAAACTGAACAATTAAGGTAGAAGAAGTCTAAATATGATGATGGATCAACTAAATCTAGCCCAAAACCAAAATCAGGCCCTAATTTAGTGTTGGACCAGGTCTGCCCAATGGGTCTGAGCCGGCCCAACCCTCATGACCCATCATCATCTTCTTCACGTTAATCAGCCCTAGCAGCTGTCCGGAACTACGAGGGAGAACAGCAACAATCCGTAACCAGCGTCGCCTGAAGAAGGAGGAAGCAGGACGTCGACGGGAAACCCAGCGTCGTCGCTCCAGGTCGCAACGCTAGCACCGTCGCTGTCATCTCCGAGTCGCAGCTGCAAACAACCGCATGTTCTGAAAGCAGAACGCACCGGCGATCTCCTTAACGCCGGCGAGATGGAAAAAACAGAACTGTTTTTTTAAAAAAAAAAAAAAAATCTGCAGTCGTCGTTCTCTCTCGTCGCCGGTAGAGTCGCCGGAAAACGCACCCATAGCCGCTGGTTCGCCAGTCATAGTTGATGTTCCTGTTGTGTTGCCTCTTAACGGTAGACCGTTAGCCATGTTTTGTCTCAGACCTGACTCAGAACCCTAGATGGCGTATTGGTATCTACTGAGCGGTCTGAGTACCGTAACTGAATGTGCTATCTAATCCGTAAACCTGTATCCCATCAATCCAGGTTTATATTAGGCACAGAGTTTGGTTGACTAACAACTACTAGTTATTAAGACCAACCAGACCACTTAATAAGTCTAATCAACTTGCACCACTTAATTAAGGCCCTAATATATAATATATAATATATATTATTAGGGAAAATCTTACAAAAAATGCTAAGTGAAAATATTGTAAATTGAAATGTTTGTATTTTCAGTAGCTTGGAACAAATTGTTGCTTCAAACTGTTGAATAACCAAACAATTTCTTTAGCATTTTGATATTTGGGTTACATCATATTTACCAATCGTCCAATATCTTTGGATTACATTATAATTAAATTTTTTAACTTTATCTAAATTCTTTAAATTAGGAATTTCTTTATCCATAATAATTTATTCAACAATAATGGTTGAACTAAATGAACACTAAGCAAAACACCTAAAGGACTGGTACTGTTGATTCATTCATTGATCTGGTATATATGTGCATTCATTAAATATATTAGAACCATTTGCAACAAAAATACTTGGTTATTATTTTAAAAAACTTTAGTAACAATTATAATGAATCTCATATATTACATTATATTCATATACAATGAGTTATATATTTAAATAAACAAATTCGACATTAAATTAATTATTTATGAACTTCTCATATATAATCTTGCATTTATATATACTTTCAAATATTTATTTAATTATAAACATTGAGCATTGAAGAATCTGAGCAAGAGATGCTTATTTCTCTGGCCTACAAAGTGTTTCCTGGTAATTTACAACAACAGCTCTATTCGTACATATCTGGAAGGTTCACTTCTGATCTTGTTTGTGTATCTATTGCATTCTTATCGTTGACGTGGATAGTTTCCTCTAAAATCTAAATTTTGGGATGTTGTATTCACATAAGAGCTGAAATCTTTTACAGAGTGTCTTTTGCTGAAAAGAGTGTCACAATAAATTTTTTATGATTTTACTTTTGAATGATCTGCTCTAGTGTGACATTGAATGCGCACTCCGTATTCTTCAATCATGATGCAGTTGAATGCACATTGCAGATACAAAAATTGATGAAATCATATATGTAGTTATACATTCTAAAGTCTTTCTTGAAGCCTTTGACATAATCTTATATACAAATACTATTGAATGTTATCTTGCATTCTTTTTTACATACAATATAAAATTTCTGGCCAAGGTTACTGGCTTACTGCAATGTCAATCAGTACCTGCAAGGTCATATAAGAATTTGAAATCAGTTTCTAGCATTTTTATGGTAGAAGTGTAGTGTAATTTTTTTAAAAAAGCTTATAAAAAATATACTGCATAACAAATTTTAAATTTTACAAAGGCAATCTATTCTATATGCCACAAATATTAAATGAAATTGGGAAAAGTGTCAAATTGCCCCCCTAAGTCGAACGGATTGTGCAATTGGGTCCCCTAACTAAAAAAAGCTCCATTTAGATCCTCTAAACCTGTAAAATTGTTCAATTAAGTCCAAGGTGACTTGTTTAACAGGTTAAATCTTCACATTGTTGACACGTGTCACTTTAAAATATATATTTTTTGTTTGTTTTTTTTTAAATGATTTATTTATTTATTAAAACATATATTATATATAAAAATAATTTTTTTTTTAAGAAAAAACAAAGCTATTTTTTTTAAACGCACAAAGCTGTTTAGGTGACTGTGTTTATTTATTTATTTATTTATTTTATTATATATATATATATATAATATATGTTTTAATAAATAAATAAATAAATTATTTTTTTTAAAAACAAACAAAAAAAATATATTTTAAAGTGACATGTGTCAACAATGTGAAGATTTGACATGTTAAACAAGTCACCTTGGACTTAATTGAACAATTTTACAGGTTTATGGGATCTAAATGGAGCTTTTTTTAGTTAGGGGGCCCAATTGCACTATCCGGTCGACTTAGGGGGGCAATTTGACACTTTTCCCAATGAAATTTGATTTCATTGTTAGCTATTCACTTGAAAAAGTTTTCCCTTCAAAATGAATATAGAGTGAACATGTTTGTTTCTTGAATGCCATATATATACAGCTATCAGCATTGTACTCAATGCCTACTATCAATGATTACAATATTGTAGTATGGTTAGCTGAATGGGGAAAGCAAAAATGTTGTGTGTTTTGAGTACTGTGTAATTTATAGCCTACTCAAGCATGCAATAGATAATTAATTTGTTCCTTGTTCCAAAAAATGTTTTTGTTCTGATTCAATTTTAAAACCCAAATACTAACCATCTAAATTGATAAAGGACTTTGTCCTAAACTAATAATTTGTGTTTCAACATAATACATGTCAATATAATAGACTAATCCTCTAATTGCTTTCAAGCTCAAAATATCTGGTTGCATCTCAAATTTCTAATTCATGTTTCTACTGACTGCTCATGATATATTTGTTCTTTCAGGTCTATTTTGTTGGAAAGAGTACCTGCAAAAAGTAGTTTGTTTTCTACAGTATGTGGTCTTTGGACATAACATGTCTGAACCTATGGACAGATCAAGGATCACTCTTAGGCATTGATGCACTTCTTGGTTGTCCTTTACACCTCCATATCTAAGGTGAATTAATTCTATTGCATTTTATTTTGAGTTTATATTTCACGTATACTTTCATCTAGATGAAAATAAAAATTTTCATTAATTGGTATAGAAGGATTAAATAAGTGGTAGCTAACATTTTTTAAGTTAGCCCAAATTAGTAGTAGATTTAAAGGTGTAAAAATCATGTATGTTCAGAACTGTACCTTTATTTGCATCTATATGCCTCTTCCTCGTGCAGCCTATGGTAACTGATCCTTTAGCTTCTTCATGACTGTCTGTACTTAATTATCACTTTTTGACTTGCTTGTTTGCAACTGAAATCCTTCTGTGACTCATGCATGTAAATGTAAACTTATATATATATATATATATATATATATATATATATATATATATATATATATATATATATATATATTGCTTAAGATATGAAACTAACTAAACAAAAAAGCAATTGATGGTACTGGAAAAAAACAGCACCAATTGTTATTTAACTTTCAACTAACCTCATGGAATAAGCACTCTACTCCTGATTCCTTTCGTTTTATTACTTTCAGGCATTGCATACGTCCTCACCAAATGAAGGGATTTTTCCTCTCCTTGACTTCCTTGGCTTCAATGTAATTGTGGAATTTCACCGCAGGGCATGTAGTATTTATAGGATATTTCCCACCAAAATTTAGATTCAAAAATTGTAACCATTATTTTATTAGTATGCTTGTTGAATTGTTTTTATTGTAACTTGTAGAAGTAAACACATTGGTAAGCGTAACTGTCAATTTCATTGGGAAGCAAATTCTCTACAACCCATATTAAAGCTATAATTGTTAAAGGCATTTATTTCTAATAAAAAATCAAAAAGGAGAGAAAAAAAAAAACCCCAAATCTTTGAGCTGGAGAATGGGGCAATTTCATTGACAAAATCCCATCTCTTTATTATAATAAAAGATTATCAAGTAAATAAGTTATGAAAATAAAACAAGAGGCATTATTCAAAAACCTTATACAAATATAATAAATATTAATATTTTATTTAATACTTCTACATAAAACATGTAGGGAATCTCCTATATTATATTGTATTCATATACTTTGAATTACATATTTAAATAAACAAATTCGACATTCAATTACTTATGCATGAACTTTTCATATATAATCTTGCATTGATATACTCTCAACTACTTATTTAATTATAAGCATTGTGCATTAACTCATTCGCGCAATGCGCGAGTAAAACTAGTACATATATACATTTCATGTGCGAAGAACGAAACAAACAAGCACTTATAGTTATTAAACCCACTAATTCTATGGCGTCTTCTATTCGAATGTTAGGGTTGAAGACTGGTGGCGGAAATGGCAGAGGAAGGGGGGAAATACACTTATTTGAGAAGGTGCGTTGTGAAATTCCAAGTATACACATGCTTTAAGCTGTGTTAAACTTTTTTTTTTTTTTTTGAATGTTACTGGCCCTATTACATTGTAGTATCTGTTCATATACTTTCTCAACCTACTGAAACACAAAGAACCAATAACGCCTCCACTAAGGCTCGAACTCGTAATCTTCCAAATGAAAATCCAACCCGAGTACCATTCCAAGCGGTGTTAAACTTAGTAACTAACAGAATGACTAAGTTGACTAAGGGTCGAATAATTGAAGGACCAATTCTGTTTAAATTGGAAACTAAAGACACATTGCATATTCACTACTAATTGAGTGACCAAAAGTGTGATTTCCCCTTAAAAGGACTTAAGAATAATTGAAACTGTTGAGATGTTAGACTTGGCCCCGTGATTTTGCTTTGACAACAAATATTTGAAAGGAAATAAATAATTGGGTCATTGAGGTATACAAATTGGCAACACAGTAAAGATAGTAATAGATATCCGCAATCGATCTAATTAACAAACAAAACACACCAATCAATCGCAACCAAGTTGATGAAGTTGTTAGATTAACAACAAGATTTCAAAGTTCTTATGGTTCTTTATAGGCTAAACTTATATTGTGTTAATCCACTCTATATCTAAAAGGAAACATTTGTACAAGGAGATACTCGAAGCCAATCACGCTACAAATGCCTAAGCCAATAACAGCATTGGCGAGAGAGAATGTAAGGTGGCAGACATCCCAGCTAAGAATGCACCTATAGCAAGCACGACAGAGTGCAAGACCAAAGCTTGGCTCAATCCAAAATATCTTTTGGCATATTTGTAGTTCTTCATAGACTAGGCTTCTGCAATCATCTGAATAAGAAGAAATATGGACAAAATAGAGCAAATAAAAGCAATAAAATAAAAAATAACAAACATCTGAAAATAAGAACTGTGTAATAATATCGCCGTACTTGTGCTTTTCCAAGATTGCTGTTGTATCCTCCTGGGACTGTTAAACCCGCTATAAAGGTCACAATTAAGATCAGTGAAGCCACAAGTATATATGTTCGACTTGTAATATTCCTTTCTGTACCAACATATTCTTTCATCTCTGTCTTATTTTCTGTAACTCCACTTTGACAACCAATTTTACCACCGCTCCTTACAAGTTCCCAAGCCTGTCACAATGTTATTTCATGGAATATGATTTAATTAGTTTTACTTTCACTATTTACACAAATGTCACAATTCACATATATGGCATGATGATAATTTGAATTATACACACACACATATATATCAGGGTTGCAAAAATCGGTTTGGGCGTTCGCCTAGGCGCTAGGCACCTCTAGACCTTGCCGATTTTCCCCCTAGGCTCCCGCCTAGGTTACCGGCCGCCTAGCACCTAACTCGGCTGATTTGGCCACCTAGCGTCTAAGTTAGTCGAGTTAACTCGTCCATTTCGATCGAGTTAACCCGATCGGCTCGGCCTATTTTTATTATTATATATATATGTGTGTGTATGCGCGCGCGCATACATATATATAATATGACATATATACACTCGTAGACTAGTTTGATACTTTGAATCTTTGGATGATTGAAGTATTTGAGTATTTTTAATTTTTAATATTGTTTTAATGTTTTTGTTTTTTTTTGAAAACCATTGTTTTGATGTTATGACTTATGAATTATAATTAATTCATTTATTTTGGATGTGTTATTTGATTAAATGTTGAAAACAACCTCATTAAAATTGTCAAATTGCAAATCTACAACTGGTTTTTTGGCGCCCGACCTAGATTCCGCCTAGGCGATGTCCGGGCGCCCGAGTAGCACCTAACGCCTATTGCAACCATGATATATATATATATATATATACACACACACACATATGGCATGCATAAAATAATGATATAGAAGTAGTAAAGTGTACTTACTAAGAAATACTTAGAAAATGCCAACGTTCTGTTTTGGAAGGCCATGGCAAATGGAGTTTGGTGTTGTTTATTAAAGACCAAATGCTTCCACATAAGACCCTGCATAGCAACACGTTTCAAAGGCCTGCACCTACAAATGGAAAGTAGGGCCAACAGTGTGTTGCCATCCTCGTCTTTACCCTCAATAAGGTTGTCCACTTGGGGATACTTCAAAACATATTCTATCGCATTCAATCTTTGTCCCAATACTCCTTCATGAAGGATATTTTGGAATTTGCTATAAACAATCTGGGAAGCTATTTGATATGTATTTCATCATTTCAACGTTCCCATGCCTTGCTGCTATGTGAAATACCGTGGCAACTTCATTATACCCGTTTTTAGGATATTTATATGTGTTCAGGAGTTGCTGCAAACAATCAAGGAATCCTAACCTTGCTGCTAAGTAAATGGGTGTCTCCCCAGCATTATTAGGAGGGTATACAAATTCATCATCCTCCTCAACCAACAAATCCTTCACCACTTCTAAATGCCCCATTCGCACGGCCTTGTGCAAGGCAGTATTCATCATATTATCTGTCATCTGTACCATCTCCCTCACTCCCACACCAGATTTTACATTCTTGGTGGCACTAATGATGATAGAGACTATGTTGGCATGGTCTTCCTTTGCTGCACAATGTAACGCACTTTTGTTTTTCTTATTTTGAGCAAATAACAAACACAAGGCTGCAGCATGATTATCTTTCCCTAGTAGTATGTTTTCCACAAAATGTTGGCGGCCGTAGAGCGCTGCAACATGTAGCACAGTATTCCCATTTGGCATAACCTGGAGGCCATCATCTTCCACTGCCATCGTGCTCTGCTGCCCTAGAGCCTTATAGTAATCTTCAGGTTTACCCTCCACAGCTGCTTTGTATAAGGCCAGCTTCATCAGATCAATGCCCATAGCCGGTTCCATTTGAGCACGTATTACTCTATGCATCAAATTAACAAAAGATGGTTGATGTTGTAAGAGTGTTAGTTGCCCCTAGAAATTAATAATGTGCAATGAATTGAAGTGTGCAGAATGAATTGAAGTGGAGGATGATAGATATAAAGGTTGAAGATTGAAAATTTGGGGAATTAGCCAATTAGGGATTTATCAAATATGAAATATCAATCAATTTCCAGTTTGAAAATATTTCGAATTTGTATTCAATTTGGCAATTTAGCATATACAAATCTGTAAAAGCATTAAGCATATATGTAATCACTAATTGGGATTAATTGCTAACCAGAAAAAATTCATAAACAAAGATGTAAAAAAAAAGGTTGAAGATTGAAAATTTGGAGAATTATCCAATTAGGGATTTATCAAATATGAAATATCAATCAATTCCCGTTTGAAAATATTTCGAATATGTATTCAATTAGGCGATTAGCATATACAAATCTGCAAAAGCATTAAGCATATATGTAATCACTAATTGGGATTAATTGCAAAACAGAAAAAATTCAGAAACAAAGATGTAAATAAAAGGTTGAAGATTGAAAATTTGGAGAATTAGCCAATTAGGGATTTATCAAATATGAAATATCAATCAATTCTGGTTTGAAAATATTTCAAATATGTATTCAATTAGGCGATTAGCATATACAAATTTGCAAAAGCATTAAGCATATATGTAATAACTAATTGGGATTAATTGCAAAACAGAAAAATTTTAGAAACAATGATGTAAAAAAAAGACAGTTGAAGATTGAAAATTTGGAGAATTAGCCCATTAGGGATTTATCAAATATGAAATATCAATCATCATTTTATTTTTATGAAATTAGCGATTAGGGCAAACTAATTAAGAGAATAAATTGAATAATAATGACGATTGGTTGAGGTTTGAACCTGAGGGCTGAAGCTATAAATCAATAATGGTGGTCCGGTGGACGAATGTGAACGCAGGGACGGAGCCAGGAATTTTGTTGAGTGGGGGCGAAGAAGCAAAAGGTAAAATACATTTAAAAATATTCAAATAGAATGTTCAAATACAAAACATCACATACAAATAATATTGTTAAAATACAAAATACATTATAAATTACCGTACAAGGTTTATGATGAACGAACTACTGGATAAAACCTTCTCTCATATTTTGAAATCGGTGTAGGATTGCTTCATTTGAAACTTGATCAAAAATATATTTTTCAACAAATGGCACTAAGCAATCATGTAATAAATCATCACTAATTGATATAAATTGATATAACTGCCTCACTGCTCACACATTCATTCACAAAATCACAAATTGAACAAATCAACAAATTGCTCACAAATTGAACAAATCAACAATCTAGTAATCTACCAAACAGCCAAACTGCTCACATTCATGATTTATTATTCTGACCTGCAAATTGCCAATTGCCATATACCGTATACCGCTATTAGGTCATACCAAACTGGCGAACTGCTCTCTGCTCACATTCATTATTCAATATATTCATAATTCATAAACAAATTTAACGAATCACTTAAGCACATAGAAAAAGCACATATATTAAATTGATTAAAAATAAAATTAGAGAAATTAGGAATTTAGCCATTTAGGGTTCAAAAAAAATTAGAGAAATTAGAGATTTAGGGAAAAAATAAGAACCTAAGTCAGAGGAGACGATAGGGTAGAGGCGTTGAGGTGGTGTTCATGGCTTCGGTCCTGCTGAGCGGTAAGGCGGTGAGCTGGTAGAGAGCCTGAGAGGCCACGATTCGACGACGACTCATGAGCTCTGCAATCTAAAATCTGAAATAAGGAAAACAAAAATAAATTATATATATAGTATAGCCCCAAAACGACGTCGTTTTGGGGCTCCGTCCCTGGGTTACCGGAAGGTCCGAACGGAGGCACGGAGTAGAATAGCCGGACGACGGTGGGGCGTAGCAAAACATTTTGATTTATGGAGTATTTATTTATTAATTGCCCTCAGTTTTAAATCAAATTACAAGTTTGCCATTTAATAGTATTTTTTTTTTATAAGGAAGGGAGATACCCTACATATATACACACTATTGCCTCAACTGAGGTTCGAACCTTACACCTCCCACTTAGGGGAGCAACCCAATACCAGTGGACTACAAGCCACTTTCCATTTAAGAGTATTTATCAAGGAGCATGTACTTTGTTATAAATAATAATAATATATAATACAATATACTTTTTTTTTTTTAATGCTACTGACTCTATTAGATTGTAGTATCTGTTCATAGAGACTTTCTCAACCTACTGAAGCACAATGAGAAACGCACAACCTCCCATATGAAAGTCTAACCCGGGTGCCATCTGAGGACAAGTTGCATGACATATAATACAATATATAATATACTAATAATACGAATATGAAAAATGAAGAATACTGGCGAGAGATAGAGAAGCAAGATATCATTCATCTTTCTGGAATAGTTTTACAAAAGCGGAGGGTGGGTATTTATGGCCCGTTTGGTTCACGGAATAGGTCGGGAATGGCATAGCATTCCCAGTAACCGTTTGGTTCACGGAATAGGCCGAGAATGGCATAGCATTCCCAGTAATAGGTCTATTCCTTTGTTTGGTAACCATTTCTATTACCAGGAATAATGTTCCTGGTAATAGCCTATTACCTCAAATAAGGTAATAGCTATTACTAGGACCTCTCCCCCCCCCCCCCCCCCCCCCCCCGTTATTAGCCTATTACTGAACGCTCAGGAATAGATTTTACTAAATTTTAGAATTTATTTTCTTTTTTACCCATTTCTTTAACCTAATTATTTTATCCTATATATAAATTTATCCTATTTCACCACCATCGTCGTCATCACCACCATCACTGCCGCCGCCGCCGTCGCCACCACCACCATCGCCGCCGTCGCCGCTGCCACCACCACCACCATCGCCACAACCGTCGCCGCCCCCACCACCACTGCCACCGCCACCACCACTACCACCCCAGCACCACCACCGCTACCACCACCATCATCACCACCGCCACCACTATCGCCGCCCCGCCACCGCCACCGCCACCACCACCACCGCCACCAGAACCACCACCACCGGCACCACCACCACCACCATCGCCACAACCGTCGCCGCCCCCACCACCACTGCCACAACCGTCACCGTCATCACCACCACCGTCGCCCCCACCACCGCCACCGCCACCACCACCACTACCACCCCAGCACCACCACCGCCACCACCATCGCCACCGCCACCACCACCACCACCACCATCGCCATCATCACATATTTTTATAAGGGTATTTATGTCATTTAAAACATATTTCATTTCTATTCCTTACATCAACCAAACACTGTAATATAATTCCTAAAGTCTATTCCTTCCGCGAACCAAACAATATAATACAATTCCTATTCTATTCCTTGCCTATTCCATTCCTTATGGAATAGCATTCCTATTACCTCAAAATTCATTCCGTGAACCAAACGTGCTGTTATAGTATTGACTAGTTTTTTATGCGTATTGCGCGATTTGGATAATGCCCAATGTTTTTTTCTTAAATAAGTATTTTAAAGTATATATCAATGCAAGATTATATTGGAATTGTTCATGCATAGATAATTGAATGTTGAATTTGCGTATTTAAATTTGTAATTCTAAGCTTACAAATGCAAGATAATATAGTCAAGATTGATTATAATTGTCAATAAAATATATACTAATATTGTTTGAGGAGATTCGGACGGTAGGATTTGTGGTTAGAGTTCTATTAAGACTTTAATATTAGAATTAGATTAATGTTGTAGTTATAATTCTATATTAGACTTTAATATTAGAATTAGACTAACAGTGAATTAACGACAAATTATGCTGTGCATCCGGATGCAAAAATGACGTCGTTTTATTAAAAACGCGCGTCTCACTAAAAAAAAAAAATTCAGTTTCGATTCCCAGCAACAACATTATATTGTGCATAATTTGAACTATATATCCAGAATCTATGAACTAAAATTCCAGAATCGATGAATTAAAATTCCAAAATCTATGAACTAAAATTCCAGAATCGATGAACTAAAATTCTAGAATCTATGAACTAAAATTCCAGAATCTATGAACTAAAATTCCAGAATGAATGAACAACATAATGCTGTTGAGGGGAATCGAAACTGAATTTTTTTAAGTGGGATGCGTGTTTTTAATAAAACGACGTCGTTTTTGCATCCGTATGCACCATGCATGGTGCATACGGATGCACAGCATAACTATCCTGAATTAACGGTACTTAATGGAAAAGTTAACGGATCGGATAATTATATAATTAAGGATAAATTAGGAAATCTCAAGGAAAAATTAAAATCTGAACTATTCATTTGATTTAATAATTTGACGGTCATTTTTTCTACCCAATGTTTATAATTAAATAAATGAGCAAATACCAATTTTGATCCCACGAGTATTAGCAAAATGACAGTTTTGGTCCACATATTTAATTCATACAAATTTTCATCCACGACTATTGTTTTAGTACCAATTTTCATCCACGACTATTATTTTAGTACCAAAATTTATCACGTCGGTCACCCCTCCATTAAAGACATGCCAAAATCTAAAAATTTTAAGGGCATTTTCATCATTTTCAACTTAAGATTCCAATTTGAGCATGAATAAAGGGATTTAAGCCTTAAGATCGATCTCAATTCGCAATTCTCATCCTCATCCTACCTTAAATTTGATGAGAGAACTACGAATTGTGACAGATCTTAGGGTTTAAATCCCTTTATTCATGCTCAAATTGATATCTTAATTTGAAAAGGACGAAAATACCCTTAATAATTTCATATTTTGGCATGTCTTAAACGAAGGGGTGACCGGTGTGATGAGTTTTGACACTAAAACAATAGTCATGGATGAAAATTGGTACTAAAATAATAGTCATGGATAAAAATTGGTAAGAATTAAACACGTGGACTAAAACTGACATTTTGCTAATACTCGTGGACTAAAATTGGTATTTGCTCTTAAATAATTTTTTGAAGAGCAAATTACACTTTTGGTCCTATGACTATAGGGGGTATGTTAATTTCAATCCGTGACTTTTAAAACTAACAATTTAGTCCTTTAACTATGTTTTTTTAGCAGATTTGGTCCTCCCGGCCAAATTACCGGTGGAAATTGGCCGGAAAAACTTAAAACTTTTTAAAATTTTTTTATTCATGAGGGAAAAATGGTCATTTCATCCTCATTTCTTCTTCCTTGCTGCGCCTGCGACGAACTGCCATAACCCAGGGAAAGAAACATGCCAGAATGAATACAATTTCTTCTCCTTTGTCGATCAATGGCATTTAGAGAGTTGATTCATGTTTTCCGACATTGTATTTTACGATCATCTCTATCGTCATCCTCAATATATCTTTTACCATTATATTTTTCGATCGGTGGCCAAAAAATGTTTAAAAGTCGGAAACAAATTCGAATCTAAAGTCATGCAGAGTTGATTTTGTTATCTCTGGCGGTTATAATTAATCCTTGTTTGTCTCAGCTTTATCCCAACTTCTACCGCCGGAGCTGCACGTGTTTTGACCAAATCATGCAAGACACCACCACCAAGCAGATCGTTTCCCCCACAACCGTGCGCCGGCTCTTCCATGCTCATCTCCTCCACCACTTTCAACAAGAGCTCAACGCCGACATCACCCTCCCCCTCCTCGGCGATGGCTTCGAAGTGGTCATCCGCACCAAAACCACTCTGGAACTCGTTGCCCTGGCATCGTTTCCAGTTGCCGGAGTGAAATGCCCCATCTGTTCTGCAAAAATAATCATACATTCTCTACCATTTATGATCCCAATCTCTCTTCTCTTAGAATCAACTTCCTCTGTCAGGAACTATTGCCAGAACACATCGTTCCTTTCGACGACGGGCACGGCCGCCGTAGAACTCCTTCCCTCTAACCGATCTTTCAATCTATCAACATC